TGTCTGGTCCAAGCCAATAAAGTAAACAGCTTGTAAAGCCTTGTTTTTTTTCTCTTTCTGTTGCCAGAATTGCATATGAGACAATCATTTTACTGACTTTGACTTTGCCAAGGATGTGCTTATGGGATGTTACTACATTGGAACAGTTGCTGTCTAGTAGTTAAACAATCTGTTATTCTGTTAAGTTTTCTAATAGAGTTAAAGTTATACCAATTCTTCTTTCTTTTGTTTGTATATTAACTGTAGGTAAGAATAAAGTGTGTTTTGCTTAAAGCTGATCCAATTGCATCTGGAACAGAGCACTTTACATTTGCCTTTAAATAAGATAAAAGTTAGGGTCTAGGCTATTTCCTTGATGTATTTGAGTGGGGTTCGGTCTGGTCCATAACATTAGATAAAGATTTTTTGAGTAAACTATATTTCTGGAAGAAAGAAAGGGTTCTTTCACTTTAAGCTCTGCCTTGTTATACATCACAAAATCCAGAATTGCCTGTTCCGTAGTGAGCTCCACCACAAGCTGTTCCAAAACCAAAAACATCTTGTAGATATTCCACAAATTCCTTTTCTTGGGATCCGCTACCAACCTGATTTTCCCAGTCCACCTGCATATTCAAGTCCCTCATGATAATTATCATAGTAAAAACCAAAAGCACTGTGAATGCTGTAAATCAGAAACAAAATCAGAAGTTGCTGGAATAGCTCAGCAGGTCTGACATCATCTGTGAAGAAAAATCAGAGCTTATGTTTTGTGTCTGGTGACACTTTTTCAGAACTCAAGAATTACAATAGTGCCTTTTCCATCTTTGCCACATCCTGACTCCTGCTAGGAGGCCTGTACGTATATCCCACCAGGGTCTTTTTCCCTTTATGGTTCCTCATTTCTACCCATGCTGATTCTATGCCTTCTGACTCTATATTACTTCTTGCTATCAATTTAATTTCATTTCTTACTACTAAGGCAACCCTGTCCCCAGCCATCTTGATATGTATACTTGAATATTTAGCTCCCAGCCCTGATGGCCTTCCAGCCATGTCTCTGTCGTACCAACCAATTAAAAATCCACGTTGCATGCACATTTATCTTGTTTCATATACGTTGTGCATTTTTAAAATTCATTTTTGGGATGTGGGCGTCGTTGGCTGGCCATCATTTCTTGCCCATCCCGAGTTGCCCTTGAGAAGGTGATGGTGAGCTGCCTTTTTGAACCGCTGCAGTCTTCCTGCTGTGGGTCGACCCACAATGCTATTAGGGAGGGAATCCCAGGATTTTGACCCAGCGTCAGTGAAGAAACGACGATATATTTCCAAGTCAGGATGGTGAGTGACTTGGAGGTGATGGTGTTCCCATACTGCCCTTGTCCTTCTAGATGGAAGTGGTCGTGGGTTTGGGACGTGCTGTCTGAGGATCTTCAGTGAATTTCTGCAGTGCATCTTGTAGATAGTACACACTGCTGCTATTGAGTGTCGGTGGTGGAGGGACTGAATGCTTGTAGATGTAGTGCCAATCAAGCGGGCTACTTTGTCCTGGATGGTGTCAAACTTCTTGAGTGTTGTTGGGGCTGCACTGATCCACGCAAGTGGGGAGTATGCCATCACACTCCTGACTTGCGCCTTGGGGATGGTGGACAGGCTTTGAGGAGTCAGGTTGTGAGTTACTCGCTGCGGTATTCCTAGCTTCTGGCCCGCTCTTGTAGCCACTCTGTTAATGTGGTGAGTCCAGTTGAGTTTCTGGTCAATGGTAACCCCCAGGATGTTGATAGTGAGGGATTCAGTGATGGTAACACCTTTGAATGTCAAGGGACGGTGGTTAGATTGTCTCCTATTGGTGATGGTCATAGCCTGGCAGTTGTGTGGCACGAATGTCACTTGCCACTTGTCAGCCCAAGCCTGGATACTGTCCAGATCTTGTTGCATGTGAACATGGACCACTTCAGTATCTGAGGAGTCACAAATGGTGCTGAATGTTGTGCAATCATCGGCGAACATCCCCACCTCTGACCTTACTCTGACAACACTTAGAGGAAGCAGTGAGGATGGCAAGGGCACAAAATGTACTCTGGGTGAGGGATTTCAATGTCCACCACCAAGAGTGGCTTGGCAGCAGTACTACTGATCGAGCTGGTCGGGTCCTAAAGGACATAGCTGCTAGATTGGGTCTGCGGCAGGTGGTGAGGGAACCAACAAGAGGGAAAAACATACTTGACCTCATCCTTACTAATCTGCCAGCTGCAGTTGTATCTGTCCAAGACAGTATCGGTAAGAGTGACCATCGCACAGTCCTTGTGGAGACGAAGTCCCGCCTTCACATTGAGAACAACCTCCATTGTGTTGTGTGGCACTATCACTGTGCTAAATGGGACAGACTTTGCACAGATTCAGCAACTCAAGCCTGGACATCCATTAGGCGCTATGGGCCATCAACAGCAGCAGAATTGTACTCCACCAGAATCTGTAACGTCATGGCCTGGCATATCCCCCACTCAGCCATTACCATCAAGTCAGGGGATCAACCCGGGTTCAATGAAGAGTGCAGGAGGGCATGCCAGGAGCAGCACCAGGCATACGTGAAGATGAGGTATCAACCTGGTGAAGCCACTAAACAGGACTACTTGCACACCAAACAGTGAAAGCAGCAAGTGATAGACAGATCTAAACAATCCCACAACCAACGAATCAGATCTAAGCTCTGCAGTCCTGCAACATCCAGTCATGAATGGTGGTGGACAATTAAACAACTCAATGGAAGACGAGGCGTCACAAATATCCCCATCCTCAATGATGGAAGAGCCCAGCACATCAATGCAATAGATAAGGCTGAAGCATTTGCAGCGATCTTCAGCCAGAAGTGCCGAGTGAACGATCCATCTCGGCCTCCTCCAGTGATCGCCAGCATTACAGATACCAGTCTTCAGCCAATTCGATCCACTCCACATGATATCAAGAAACGGTTGAAGACACTGGATACTGCAAAGGCTACCGGCCCTGACAACATTCCGGCAATAGTGCTGAAGACTTGTGTTCCAGAACTTGCCGCACCCTTAGCCAAGCTGTTCCAGTACAGTTACAACACTGGCATCTACCTGACAACGTGGAAAATTGCCCAAGTATGTCCTGTACATAAAAAGCAGGACCAATCCAAACTGGCCAATTACCACCCCATCAGTCTCCTCTTGATCATCAGTAAAGTGATGGAAGGTGTCATTAATAGTGCTATCAAGCAGTACCTGCTCATAAATAACCTGCTCAGTGATGCGCAGTTTGGGTTCTGCCAGGATCACTCAGCTCCTGACCTCATTACAGCCTTAGTTCAAACATGGACAAAAGAGCTGAATTTCAGAGGTGAGGTGAGAGTGACAGCCCATGATATCAAGGCTGCATTCGACCGAGTGTGGCATCAAGGAGCCCTAGCAAAACTGCAATCAATGGGAATCAGGGGCAAACGCTCCGGTGGTTGGAGTCATACCTGACACATAGGAAGATGGTCGTGGTTGTCGGAGGTCAATTATCTCAGCTCCAGGACATCTCTGCAGGAGTTCCTCAGGGCCCAACCATCTTCAGCTGCTTCATCAATGACCTTCCCTCCATCATAAGATCAGAGGTGGGGATGTTTGCCGATGATTGCACAATGTTCAGCACTATTCGTGACTCCTCAGATACTGAAGCAGTCCACGTTCACATGCAACAAGATCTGGACAATATCCAGGCTTGGGCTGACAAGTGGCAAATGACATTCGTGCCACACAAATGCCAGGCTATGACCATCACCAATAGGAGACAATCTAACCACCGCCCCTTGACATTCAAAGGTATTACCATCACTGAATCCCCCACTATCAACCTGGGGGTTACCATTGACCAGAAACTCAACTGGACTCACCACATTAACAGAGTGGCTACAAAAGCGGGCCAGAAGCTAGGAATACTGCGGTGAGTAACTCACCTCCTGACTCCTCAAAGCCTGTCCACCATCCCCAAGGCACAAGTCAGGTGTGTGATGGAATACTCCCCACTTGCGTGGATCAGTGCAGCCCCAACAACACTTAAGAAGTTTGACACCATCCAGGACAAAGCAGCCCGCTTGATTGGTACTACATCCACAAGCATTCACTCCCTCCACCACTGATGCTCAGTAGCAACAGTGTGTACTATCTACAAGGTGCACTGCAGAAATTCACCAAAGATCCTCATACAGCACCTTCCAAACTCACAACTACTTCCATCTAGAAGGACAAGGGCAGCAGATATGTGGGAACACCACCACCTCCAAGTTCCCCTCCAAGTCACTCACCATCCTGACTTGGAAATATATTACCGTTCCTTCGCTGTCGCTGGGTAATAATCCTGGAATTCCCTCCCAAATAGCATTGTGGGTCAACCCCCTGCAGGAGGAATGTAGCGGTTCAACAATGCAGCTCACCTTCTCAAGGGCAGCTCGGGATGGGCAAGAAATGCTGGCCAGCCAGTGATGCCCATGTCCCACAAAACATGAATAGTTAAAAAAATGTCAGGGTTGTGTGATTTCCCATTGCCTGCTGTGAGCTTGGACAATGTGTAAAGTTGGTGTAATTTCCAATTCCCTGCGGTGAACTCGGACAATGTGTAAGGGTGGTGTGATTTCCCATTCCCTGCTGTGAGCTTGGACAATCCGGGGACCTTTCAAGCTGCAGCAGCCGCGTGTTAACGTCCCACACGTCTACGTCACCGCGCACTGCATCCTCTGTGCAGCTCCCTTAACCCTGTCGATTTGGCAGGTAAATGCCGAGCTCTTCAGCACAATTGACCAAATGAAAAGTCGGTGCCAATGCTCCCAACGCGGCCTGCGATGACAGAAATACGCCATGTCAAATTCAAGTTGGCGGACCTACCCAGCCCAACTATCTTTCCCATCACCAACATGGTGGCGACCACGTGTCTGAAGGGGGCGGTACCAGAGGCACGCATGCGCAGTCTGGATACAGCGGACATCCAGCTTTTCAGTCGGCTGATCGTCGATGACGCATCGACGTCGTGTCATCCCTATCCGGCGCCCCTAGCGTGATGATGCAGTTTCTGGGCGCGAGCACGCTCCAGGGGCGCGCACGCTGACATTCCGAGTGACTGAGTGGCTGGAAGGGCTTAGACAGACGGAGAGCGGGAGACGATGCAGATCACGCTGAAGACCCTCCAACAGCAAACCTTCCGCATAGATATCGACTCCGAGCAGACGGTAAGTGTGTCTGGCTTGCACAACGCCAATGCTTCCAGCCCCGACCGTTAGTTGGAGAGGGCTGTGAGAGGGCTCGGATAAGGCGACAGGAGACCGTGGCGGATTTGGAAACAGGCCGCGGGAGCGGACTGAAGAGCGGCGCCCTGGGGCCTAGCTCTGGAGTAGAAGCTGACACCCGTACCACTGAAGCATGAGTGCAAGGCTAGCCTGCTCGCACCAGGCCTCTCCTTTTCTATCGTCTCCGTTTGGCACAGGTTTGGCTGCGGCCCTCGGAAACTCCGGCGATCTTTGCTGCACTAGGCCGCCCTTAGTCAGTATTGGTCCGGCCCTCCCCACCCCCACCCCCAGCCCCAGCCCCAGCCCCAGCCCCAGCTGGGGCTAATGGTTTCGCGGGATCATCCCACTCCGCCCTCGACACCTCTGGAATGGGATTGTTTACCCGATTGTCCTACCTTTACCAGCAAGATAGCCGCTTTACTCGTTGCCTGTCGAAGCCTACACCTGCCAAGCAACCCTCGGGGTTTAATCAGGAGAGTGGGGAGAGAACTTTTTACCTTTGGTCGATTTAATAAACCCGTTTTTGTTGGTAAAACCTTTGTCACGGTGGTGGGCAGAGAATGGAAGACGTAGGGATGATACATCAAAATTAGAAAGAGTAACATTAAACCTGCACTGGGATCGAACCCAAAACAACCATGACACAGCAGCGCAGTGTGGTTGTCAGTGTGAAGTGTGCAGGAGTAGTTAAGTCTGGGGCCTGCTATTTAGATGTCATTTTGTGTGTGAAATACTTTCCAAAGAATAATTGCACGCTCCTGCAGTCCACCGTTTTTTTAAAACCAAGTATAACTTCTGCTTAAATCGTTGCTGAGCAAAACCGTCGGGCACATTAACTCGTGTAAACCTTCACGGATTGTATAACCCGTCGTATTGAAAACAAACGTATTAAGTTATTTGGCTTTTGATGAAGTATTGTGCTCAGCTTTTTTGGGAGGGACGGGCTGTGAACGGAGAAAGTTGCCCTTCACGGGCACTTTCTGTTTGCAAACTAACTGTTAAACTGTAATGACAGAAGCATGTCGATTGTTTCATTGCTATAGTGGTGTGACATTGTATAAATAGTGAGAAACATTTAATTTCACGTAGAAATAAGTAGTAAAGAGAGCAAGTGTTGTAGGTGAGTAAATCAGTTTAGCATGCTGAAGGTTCAAAAGGTGACCATATGGGGCAAAGAGATGTTAGTATAACCTTTTTAAAACTTCTGGATTATTTTTATTGGTTTTGATGTGATGGGGAGGAAATGAATACCAGAAATGTGAACCATCTCAGAGTCAGTGGAGGCACTCAGTAAGTCTTTTGGATCTGTAAAGTGAAAACATTGAAGCCGAAGGAGTGAGAATGAGTGGGGCATTACAGAAGTTAGATTGAAACTGATGTTTTTTAAATGTTTGAATTTGTAGCCAGACTGAACAGGCACACATGTTTTACTTTTTGTTAACACTGTTTGAGTCAATCTGTTAACTCAAACAATTTTGTGTATATAGATGCTCAGTTGTGCCTGTACGAGGTGGTGGTATAGTGGTAAAGTCGATGGTCTAATAATTTACAGAAACCCAGGTCAGTGTTTCTGTTACACGGATTCAGATCTTGCAATCAAATCCCAATTTAAATTCAATTTTAAAAATGTGGAATTCACAATTAGTCTCAGTCATAGGTTTTCTGAAACTATAGAGTGGCATTAAAAAATCTGGATCATTTGTTCTTTAGGGAAGGAAATTTGCCATTGTTGTCTAATTTAGTGTATGTATGACTCCAGACTCAGCAAATAAAAACCAAAAGAACTGTGGATGTTGTAAATCAGGAACAAAAACAGAAGTTGCTGAAAAAGCTCAGCAAGTCTGGCAGCATCTGTGAAGAGAAATCAGAGTTAATGTTTTGGGTCCGGTGAGCTGTTTCAGGTCACCGGACCTGAAACGTTAACTCTGTTTTTCATATTCAAAATTGGATTGCTATTTAAAAAATGAAGCATGTGCAGCTTTCATGGGAGAATGACACTAAGGAGATTGCTCATGGCGAGAGCTGGTGCAGGAATGATGGGATTATTGTATGTTGTATCATTCAAGGATAATTATGCATTGATTGCAGATGGATGAATGGTGAAAGGTAGTGGCTACTGATTCTCTTATGTTTAGTTTTTTTCAAACCTTCCCAGTGACTTAGCTAATAAGTAGATCATGAACCATTATTCAGTCAAGCACAGCAGACAGCCTTCTGTGGTTTATTCCCAGGCCTGTACTTTAGCTAATCAGACCTAGACCAAAATTTGGGGTCCTACTGATAATCTGTTTCTTGAAACCGGGGAAGGGGAAGATTGGATCAACGCTTCCTCGGTTGCTCAGCGCCGTAACTCCTGCTGAAATGTTTGCATCCATGAACAGGATTGAGCTCTGCTTTGACGTAGACTTGACATCATATGTGGATTTGTGAGGTCAAGTGACTGCTTCAGTAAGGTACTCGTGCCACTGGATTCATATCTCAGTAGGAGTTGGAGCTTGCCACCTGTGAGACTGAGCCCCAGCAAATACTGCCAGAAAAATTGGAGGTGTTTTAACTTCTGATGTTGCCTCATTCTATTTGTGTATTCCCTTTGACTATTGACCCTGTGCATGTTTTGTCCGGGCAAAATTGGTGATTACACGTATTGTGAAAGTACTTCAAATAAAAATCTTCAGCTTTGACCAACTTCTACAGTCATACTGCCATTTGAGTGGAGTGGAGAAGGTTTGTGTAATGAGCAATTTCCAGGCATTTTTTAAAAAAACGTATATTTTTACTGCAGCTTGGATTCTTTTTATTATATGCCTGGCAATTCTCTCTCTGAATATCTTGATTTTTGAGCTCGCAAGTGCAGAGAGGTATGTTTTTTGGATAAAGTTATCCTTATACATCGCACCTTCAGACTGCAGATGCATAGGTAACACGTTCCCTCCATAGCAATGTCATTGTTATTGTAATTCGGGATAATATATGGGAGTGACACCTGAATGATTTAATTGTATCCATACCTTGGAAAGGGTTTTCCTGCTCGTGTGTACATAGTAATCAACTTTATAAAATTAGACTGAGTTTGCATAAATGAATCAAGAATATATCTATTTCTCTGTTTCACTATACAGTGTAAATGAGGTGGTGCATCTTCATTCAACTCAAAGCTGACTTCCAGCTGCTTGTGCAATTAAGTTTTGCATTCAGGGTATCCTAGAGGAGCGATCTAATCTCTGTGCAGTGTAACGGATGTGAAGACCAGACGTGCCTGTCTTCAGAAACTAAGCATCCCATTGGGTATATATCTTACTTGTGATATGTAGCCCACTGTTCACTTTAGAAGTTGTGTAGTCAATTTGTTTTTCTTCCTGAGATGGATTTTTAAAAAAAAAAGTCAGCTTTGGTTATTTACTGATTGGCTTGTACATAAGAATCTGAGGAGTTTCAATGATAGCACAATTTGCAGCTTCAGTTTGTGACTTAAGTGCTTCATAGCCAACGAAGTACATCAGTCTGTCCTTCAAACCTGTTATCTTTGTCACTTTTTGCAAAAGGTCATCCCATTTACCTCTCCATGGTTGTAATTAATGGTTCCATCTCCAAACATGTTTTCTCTTCAAAATCCAAATGCATGACCATCTTTCCTCATCCTTCCATGTTTGAAACCCATCTTTGGGTTTTTACTTCTGCCACCTTACTGAAATGCCTCATCAAGGGCATTGGTGGCAAAATAACCTATTGTTACTTGTGTTCTTTGATCTGTTTGCATCTTTTGGCAGATCACCTTCCTGGATTGAAACTGCACTTGGTCAGAATATGTTCTTATCCACCTGCTGTAGCTAGATAATAACCTGCAATAGCTTCTTGACTTCACTGTTGCCCCTAATGTCCCTTGGCTTCCTTAGTAACATCATCTTAAAAAGTGTTATTTTCCACTTTATAGGCTGATAGCCAACATTACTGAATTGCCATCTCTTCTTATCCCTCCATATCTTTGACTAAGCCACTTGATAATTTAATGTCCTTGATTATCAGAAACGTAATTAAATATTGAGAAGATGAAATTAACTTCAGTCCCATTGCACACTTTGTTCCCTAGTTTGTTTCAGATTTCCAGCATCTGTTGTGTTTTGCTTTGATTTCCGAGCTACTGACTCCGTCCATCAAAGGCTCAACTAGTGTTGGCAAACCTATTGTCACACATTTGAGCCTTGGATGTGTATCCAGTCTCATCCATGCCATCACTAATATGCTTATTTATATCTAGCATCAGCTCATGTTCTGCTAGAAATGAAATTCTAATTCACTGTTGACAAGTATTTCAGTTCCTACCTTTTTGAAAGTGAGATTGTCTGCATTACTGCTTCCTGTGTCCTTGCTTACATCAGTTAGAGGTAGAGTCACCGTTGTCTTAGAGAACATTAGGGCTGCTGTTTCATCAAAAAGAAGTGACTAATAGTGGGCTTAACATGAGGGGTGAAGTTGAAGGTAGGTCCTTCATGGTGACCTTAGTGGAGGAGAGGGTTGTTGTAAGTTAGCTCACTTGGCTGGGTATCTGGTTTGCGATGCAGAGTGATGTCAGCAGCGCGGTTTCAATTCCTGCTGCCCTGAGGTTGCTGTCTTGCTCGCCGAGCTGGCTTGTTCTTTTCAGATGTTTTGTACTCCTGCTCGGTGACATCATCAGTAGAGCCTCTGATGAAGCAATGTTATTCTACTCTGCTTGGAATTTATACTGTTTGGTCCGTCATGGTGAGTAATGTTATTTCTGGTTTTAATCTGTATGGGTTTGTATATGGGGTCCAATTCTATATATTTGTTGATTGCATTATGGGTGGAGAGCCATGCCTCTAGGAATTCCTGTGCGTGTCTGTTTGGCTTGGGCTACTATTGTTCCAGTTAAACTGATGGCCTTCATTGTCTGAGTGTACTAATATTAAGGAGAGTTTGTCGTGCCG